GGCTTTTTTTTTTTTTTTTTAAGACGCCCCAGTTCCTCTGGGGTGTGGCCGCCCTTGTTTCAGCAAGTGAATGAACCTAACTTTGTTAGATTATTAGGTTTGTTTCCGATGGGCTTGATCAGATAGGGTTTATCACTGTTTATTTTGGCGGACCCCCCTGCACGGCGTGAAGGTAGGACACCTTTAGCTCCATCTTAGGAGAAAACTGAAGCAGAATAACGATAACTTATGTACTGATATCCATCTATGCCCCGAAAAGGGCTGTAGGCTTTTTAACTTTAAAGTTTTTAGATTGCCTTTCAGCAGAGAACGACCACAGTGTTTTTAAAATTACCGGCATCCACCAAATTCAGACCAATCTTACAACAGTTACATGAATCTTCCTTTTCTTTGTAAACTACTTTCTTCTCTCCGCTAAATTGTGACACTATTTGCCTGACGCTCTATCCACTGAGCAAAACTGGCTAGGGCTACATGTTCAATTCTTTATGGTTAGTTGATTTAACCTAACAGCTTTAATAAATCATTTCTTTCCTGTAAAGCAGTGGTTCTCAACCTTCTGGCCCTTTACATACAGTTCCTCATGCTGTGACCCAACCATCAAATTATTTTCGTTGCTACTTCATAACTGTAATGTTGCTACTGTTATGAATCATAATGTAAATATCTGATGTGCAGGATGGTCTAAGGCGACCCCTGTGAAAGAGCCGTTCGACCGCTAAAGGGGTCGCGACCCACAGGTTGAGAACCGCTGTGTAAAGTATTGCCATGCTAGAATATCATTTATTAAATCTAAGTCATGAATGTCAGACCTTTAAGTTGGTTTCTCAAATGTTTATTCCCATTTTGCATTTTCTATTAAGTGACTGGGCAAGATTTACAAAGTACTTGTGCAGATTATCATTAGTACTGCCTCCCCCAAATACCTTCCATTATTCATTACGCCAATAATCAGACCTCCAGACATTTCTCTCTATATATAGTAACAAAAGTAAGTCAAAGACAGTAAATTGGTCATTCTCCTAAAGCGGAGAGTGCTTTTCAAAGACTACACAATAAGGCAGTTAGTGCGGCCATGTTGAAGAGTCCAACGCCAATTGCTCTGTATGTGAATTCACATTGTGGTGTCCATTAGCGACTCTTTTCCTGTATTTCAACAGGCAACAAAGCCTGTTCCAGGTTAATGACAGGGAAAATGGAACAGATAAGAGACATCACAAAGGACAAAGCTATAGGGCTTGGGAGGACTAAATAGATATAGGAGGCAAGGGTAGGAAATAAATCCAAGACATACTCCTGGGTCACTTAAAGAGTGAAGATGGGGTTTAAAAAAAGGGCTGGGGAAAAAGTGATTTCATTCCATTATTTAGGTTGGTAGAGGGACATGAAGAAAGAATAAGCTGCTTTTAATTATGTTATTTCAGGTAAAGAAGCAGATACAGGACCTGACTTTGAGGAGGTCAGGCTTTTGATATCGTAATGGTAATCATAAAAAAACTGAGAGCCATATTTTAATTTCTCTATATAGTTAGCATTAAGTCTTTCTGAATAATAATACTTTCTTCTTTTTAAGTTATGGATTCATCACCACAAAATTCAAATTCCCATAGTCTAGCACAAATACCCATGATTTTAAGAGGTTCCCTTGTATCAATTAAAATGGAAGATTCAAATTTTCATAAAAGTTAGTAAAGACAGCAGTAAACAGAAAAATAAATTTATCTTTATTGTTGAAAATCTGACTGAGATGTCCTCCATCATATGGGAAAGGTTTGAGCGATTTGGTGAGAAGGTCTCCTGCAGGTGCAGGTGCTGGTGATTAGATCTGAGATAAGCCAAACAGCACTGTTTGAGAAGCACAACTTTCATTTCGGGATTCAGCAACGTCTAACACAGTAACCGAGGTCTCTTTTCCTACCTCTTGGCCACAGATGGCTCCAGGGGTTTGGGCTGGGAATTACACAAGAGGGAGTCAGGGTTAAGGCACTGGACAGCTAGTTAGTGCCTGATGGCATAGCCTTGGCGACTTTGCAGGCTGGCACCAGGTCTCAGGTTCACACTCTCTCTCCTTTAATCAGAGATTAAAGAGGCCCACAGCTCCCTTTACATTCAAGTACCGCCTTCTAGCGGGCTGGTGCATGGGAAGGAAAAGGGCATTTCCTTCTGAAGTGAGCAAACTGCTCTTTTATGATTTTTACTACTAACCCTGGGAAAATAGACAAAGGTTTCAAGGCTCCTTCTTAAAACACTTCTCCATGTCCTTTTTTTCTTTCCAAATGGACAGACGTTGTTGTACCCAGATACTAATCAGTTTGGGGGCACCAGTTACTTACCAACCAACCAACTTGGGCCGGCATGAGGGGAGACTTCTTGGTGCTGTTTGTTACTATCAGCCTTCTCATGAGAGCCTTTCGTGGGAATTTCCAGGGGGAGACTGATACTCTAAGCAGGAACATTTAGGAAGAGGCATTCCCATAGTCTATGGGCCAGCGAGATACAGAAACTGGTCCCAAGTAGCCACTGGCTTGGAACGGGGTAGATGAAGTGGGAACTGCCCATACAGTATAGTTAGAAGTATTGATATTCCTAGAAGCTTCTTTTTTTTCTTTTCTTATTATTACTGTCTTCCCTCTGTCAAATCCTGAGCCAGCCACTTTCCCCTGGTTGCCTGGGGAGATATAGGAAAGGAACATACAGGGCAGACCAGGCACGGGAGAAGGTATATGAGGTGGAGACAGCAATGTCACATGGCAGAGGGAGAGCAAGGCCACCACCAGGCACGAGCCCCACAGTCTCTGAGGGCAGAGCCCAGAATGGCACTGAAGGGTTGTTGCTTCAGAGAAGGGTTCCGGCATAACAGTGAGGAGGCTCCCAAACAGTCCCAGGCCCGGCTGCCCCTTCTGTGGCACCCCAGCCCCGGGGAACCTGGCTGCTGCGTCGATGTCCCTTGAGATGGTGCTGGTTTGGAAGCTGCCAGTCCCAGGCCCAGCCCCAGGGCTGGCCGCCCCTTCTGTGGCAGCCGAGTTCCAGTTCCAGCCCCGAGGAACCTGGCTGCTGTGTCGATGTCCCTTGAGATGGTGCTGGTTTGGAAGCTGCGGCTGGAAGTGAGCGAGGTCAGGGGACATGGGGCTGGCAGGCTGCTGAGGCTCTCACCTCAGTGTCTCCGGTCGTCTCAGCACCACTGCACGCAGCGACCCCCCCAGCAGCCCAGAGATGCTTCTGACGGAGGAGGGGGGAGACCAACTTGGCGCAGGCGGCCATGTTCAGGGGAAGAGGAGAGCTGCTCCCAGTGCAGAGAAGACGGAAGTCGAATTCTTTATTGACAGAATCAATCAAACACTCATGGCAGAGTTGGCCACAAGGACCCAACACAGCACACTGTGACATTCACATGACACCTATTTAAATGTGACTCCTCTCGGTCCTTCAATTCTGTACAATGATTACAGAGTGGCTCTACATGGAAACCACCTCCCCCACACCGCCCCTGTCCACTCAGTTCATAGAGACAAACAGCTTGCTCCAAATTTATAAAAAGATAGGCTAAGAGACAAAAAAATAACCAACTAAAATAAGCTGTCAGGCCTAATCAAGAACGGCTTAATATTACTAATTCTCTTCTTTGAACATTTTACTTAAGTGCATTATTAGAGCTACCAGTTCAGGGTTCCCACCAAGCGCATCAATTTGTTTGTAGGCTTTAGCTTCAAGCTCTTTCAGAGTATTCCGCGTATATTCAAAAGAACCCACATTCTCAAGATAATGTACACAGTATTTTTTAATGTCTACGTTTTCGGTTCTCTGGCGCAAGATGTTCTGCACCTGCGTGCTTTCAGGCTTGAACCAAATAGCATGAATAGTAGGGAACGAGAACTTTCCCTCCGTGAGATCTTCACAGAAGCTTTTGTTTTCACTATATTCTTTGGAGTGTAGATTAGCATAATCATCTCTAATTTGGAAAAAGAGCCCAAGTGTATCAAGTAGTGACTTTAAATCTTCTTTGTAATCAGAGAACAACTGCATGAGACCTACCGCCAATCCAAACAGTCCACCTGTCTTCTGCTGCACCATAGCTTTATATTCTTCTTCCGTGGGACAGGTGTAGCTATCCCGCCAATAAATATCCAGGCCTTGTCCCTGATGGAGTTCCAAGAGCTGGCGCGTAAAAAGCTTAACTGCATCGGGGTGATCAAGAGTTAAGACTTTCTCTAGGCCAAGAAAATATACATAATTGGCAGAATTGATGACAGACGGAATCCCATAGATGCTGTGCGCCACGGGAAAGCCACGTCGGAGCTTCGAGTTGTCTTCGATATCATCGATGAGCAAACTGGCATTATGCAACATTTCCGTCACTTCAATGATAATCTAACAAAAAGACAATTGAAAAGTTCATTTTTTTCATATCTGAACTACTATATTAACAGATTATGATGGTCTCAGGTGCCTTAGTTTTTAAAAGTAGTAATTATTTAGCAACCTCAATATGAAAACAATAGATTGCATGAGCATTAAACAGAATTAAGAGCTAGGAGTATTTCTACGTGATGTCATAAATTTCTTGGGGATTAAGAATGAGGTTAGAGGCCCTGGGTAGGTTGCCTAGTTTGTTAGGGCATCGTCCCAATACATGATCCCAGCCTGGGTGCATACAGGAATCAACCAATGGAGGCATAAAATATACAAAACAATGTTTCTCACTCTCTCTCTACCCAAAGCAAAAAAAAAAGGGGGGGGGGGGAGGATTGGAATTGCCTAGATACCTGAAGCTTGTCGTCTGGAACTTTTAGCCAATGATTAAATGCCTGTGAAAGTTTGGTTCTCACTTGCTTACCTGCAATTAAAGAAAAAAATCTGGCAATGAAGTTAACACTTTAATTATAAAAAACATTTCAGAAATTTACTCTAAAACAGATCAGACTTGATAAATCCAACCCCATCAATCCATTACCCACTGGAGACCTTCCAGTGCTGGGCCCCTACTGGCCCCTTCTGTCAAAATTCACATTCTAAACCCCGCAACCTTAACATCAGGGCAGGCAAAAGAGGTTCTAAATCCTTCAGCAGCCCATCACTTTCATCTTAACTTGTATCAAGTTTTGGAATGGAATGGGGGAATAGGAATTATGATCTAATTCATTCCTTTTGAAAGGATGCCAGCCTAGTTAGTGGCAGTTAATTAGCACTGTCAATTTCAGAGAACATAGGCATTTTTGTTGTTGTTGAGAACATAGGTATTTTTAATGAAATGTACTTTGCTATTGAATTACCTCACACAATTACCTCTTAAAATTATCTAGCATTCCTTTAAATTAAAGTTTCAGAGAATGGACAGCTCTGCCGCTTTCCTACCAAAAAGTAACAACTGCCATGGCCTGAAGTATTCCCTTTTCTATGAGAAGGAGTATTTCAGGTCCAAGTAACTGGTTTATAAGTGAATTTTATTCTAAGAACTTACACTTGTTATATGTCTGAATTTTTACTATCATTTTTCCAAAGTTAAAAAAATATCATCAAAACATGTACATACACATAAACATGATTAGGCAAGTGTAACTGTAGGAAGCCATGACCAGGTGGCCCATCTTTATATAGGAATAATGTGGGTTATGCTTTTAAGTAACGTGATTTAGATGCATGACTATTTGGCTGTTAAAGAAACTGGTAGTATGGGAAATGGAGTGTGCGTGTGATGGTGGAAACATGAGCATGGAAGGTAACTGAAGCTTTTTGTTGGTGCACAAATTGGCACAGCTTTCCTTAATCTAGTAGGGAAGAGGAAAGTGTGGCATCCATAAATAATAAAACCTCCAAAAAGGTACTCAAATGTTTTAAGTATTTTTAATTTTTAGGTATGTTATATACTTGCATATTTTTTAAGGGTACCTCAAAAATGTCCCTTTTAATAACAAATCATCACTTTTCTCATATGCATGACCTTAAATATAAAAATCTCAAGAGCTGGCAAACCTTTTCTGAATTCTAACATTCAAATGACCGCTACTATGTAAAACCAACCCTGTTTGGTGTGGGTGGCAATAGATGTTTCTCGCTCACCCTCTCCCTCCCCTCTCTCTAAAAATCAATTAAAGAAATATTTAAGAATTGAAAAGTGTGTTTTTTGTAGTGTACTGTTGAGTATGTAGGTGAAACATAATAAAAAAATTTAGCACACCAAGCCATGGCTCTATTAATTTCGTTTTAGGTTGATGAATACTACAGAATGCCTATGTGAGTCTGAAGGCTAACATGTGAATGACCCCTACTATGTAAAACCTACTGAACCGCTACCTGGTAACTGAAGCAAGTACTTGTAGGGTTCTAGAAGAATTCTTTGGACTTTTTCTTGAGTCTTCTCCATTGTTGTTGGATTTCAAAGATGATCTGTTAAAAAAGAGAATCATAAATATGATCTCATTAATTAAATTATCGTTGAGTGTCAAACTGCAAAGGAATTTGTATCTCAAGGTATTTGTAAAGCCAGACTTTGTTTCATTTTAAAAGAAAATTCTATGGGTATGAAATCTTGAGAACATTATGCTCAGTGAAAGAAGCCAGTCAAAAAAGACTACATACTGTACTATTCCATTTACATGAACTATTTAAAACAGGCAAATCTATAGAGGCAGAAAGTAGATTAACAATTGCCTAGGTAATGTTAGGGTAGGAGGGCAAGGGAGTGACTACTAATGAGTGCGATATTTCTTTTGGGGGCCATCAAAATGTTCAAAAATTAGATTGTGGTGGTGGTTGCACAGCTCTGTGAGTACACTAAAACCCACCTAATTGTATACTTTACACGGGTGAACTATGATATATCAATTATATCGAATTAAAAAAAGGGAAAGTTTTCATTCAAGTGATTGGTCAGTGTTCACCTGGATTTTAAGGAATAAAACTTATATTAAACCTTTTATATTTACTCAACCGTGAAAGGCTTATATTGTTGTCAAATCAATGTTAAAACAAACCCACAGATTTAGATTCTTCTATATATAATTGATTATACAAATTAGTAAACATACTTGTTTCTATGAATATTAAAATGTTTTATACACTATATATAATTTAAGGGGAGACTTCCCTCCTGTATTTTCACTACAATCAGTCCATTTCAGAGATTCTGATTTAAGACAAGACATGCATTATTAAAAATATTCTCTTCCTTTATTCTTCTTAAATTTACATTTACTTTGGTATTTCCTAGCATATCACTCATGGTCTGCCTAGAATCCTCCTTCACTATTGAATCTCTACTCTCCTGCTCTGTAAAAATCTATTTTTATTTGTCCCCACATTAGGAGTTTTCTAATTGCTCCGACATCTTTGGCACATTTCAGGTTTTTCCCCTTTATCTGCTTTCTTTTGATTCTTTGGACAATGATTTTTTGTCTTTAGGATAATGAACTTAAAGAACTGGCCTGTCTGTGTGGCTCAGTTGGTTGATCTTCCTCCCCAGGGCACATGCCCAGGTTGCAGACTCCATCAGCTGTAGGGGTGGGGGTGGGTGGCAACAGATGTTTCTCTCTCTCACCCTCTCACTCCCCATCTTTCTAAAAATCAATTAAAAAAACATACTTAAGAATTGAAAAGTGTGTTTTTTGTAGTCTACTCTTGAGTATGTAGGTAAAACAATAAAAAAAAAATTAGCACACCAGGCTGTAGCTCTACTAATTTACTTTTAGGTTGATGAATACTACAGAATGTCTATGTGAGTCCAAAACTACTCACTTTCAAAACGCAAACTGCTTTAAACTTATTCAAACAATGGATGAATGACAAATACAAAAACATATTCTTTCCTCCGTGTGACTATTGCAGTTACTTCCTAGCTGGGTTCCCTGCATGAGCTAGTGATCTTTGTAAAACTGAAATCTTTCGAAGGGAAGTCTTCTCTCTCTTTCCACTGGAAAAACACACAAACAAACCCCAAACTCCTTAACACAGTTTGTAAGGATCTGGGTCCCTGCTCCTCCGGCCCCAGTTCCCCTTATTTCAAAAGCTCCCGTTTGACAGAAGGCTTTCCAGCGTGCTCTTCTTTAGGTTTGAAATGTTCTTTCCTTATTTACCCGCAGCCAACCCCTCACCTCTCACGTCGATCCTCCCGGGCTCGGTAAAGCCCTCCCCGAGGTCCCTAACCGCACGGTCTATCTCCGATCCCCTATCACCGTGCAGCCAGCACTCGCCGCTGCTGCCCTTCCGCACCCGCCTGTGCGTGCAAATTACAGGGCTGAGGTCTCCCACTAGGCTGAGGTCCACCCAGGCAGGAGCCGGACCGGTTCCTCCGCCCGGTAGGCGTTCAGTGAGTACGCGGACTGAGCGAGCGAACGGAGACTGCTTTCTAACGCATTCGAGGGTGAAATCGGGGCGCGCACATTTGCGCATGGAAAAAAAAAGATCAAGGGAAGGATCTGGTGTCAGAATGGCTACAGAGAGACCTACAAATGCAAGCGCAGCTCGGAAGCGCAGGCAACCTTTCCGGCCGACGACGGGTCTGCAGAGAACGACCCGAGAAGCGGGCGGGGGGTTGAACAACTCCTCCGAGGCCGACTTTCCCCCGCGGCGGGGCCGGGAGCCTCCAGCATCAGCTCCGCCTGCAGGGTCGCCGGGCCCTCGAGGCTCCGCTTCCTCTCCGCTCCGATGCCCCTTTCCGCCCCGATCCGGCCCCTCCAGTTCTTCCCCTTCGCCAGCGAGGGGACGCAGAACGTTCGGACCCAATCCGGTTCAGCATCCGGGGCCTCACCATCCTTCTTTCTTTCCTCCAGACCCCGCCCTCCTGCCCATCCGGTCCCCCCCGCCTGCCGCCACCACTGCCGCTCACGGTTCAGCGATGAGATCACAGCTTCCGCGCCACCGGTCCGGGAGTAGCTGGGCCCCGCATCAACTTCCCACTTTATAGCTCACACCCGGGCTCCTCCCGACGCTTCCATGAATCCCTCCCCCTACTTCATCAAGGAACTCTCCGCCCTCCTCGGCCGCCAGCGCCGCCGCATTATTCTGTGCAAGAAAATGCGCCATCCCGGTCCCACTGCGCAGGCGCCGCCGCCACCTCCCTGCACAG